TTTTTACAGTGTATGGCTTTTGACTGTTGGTTCAGGCAAAACAAGCAATATAAGGATGGCACTTTGTGCTTTAGGGAATTATGAAAGGCAGTTTACTGTATTTTTGCATATTCTAAAGACCAGACAAGTAACAAAAATAATAATTAATTTATAAATAAATCAATTAATCAACAATATCAACAGATGCAGTTAATAAAGAAATCAATAAAGAAATCAATAAAACCTCTGTATTCTTGAAGCTGTAACCTGTAAACGTTTGGTCATTTTTGCTTGATGAATTACTGTAACAGATTTGAAACATCAGATGCGTTATAATTTCTGTAAAAAATGACGCCTTATTCAACAAAGCTACATATTATTTATGTTTCTACTAATGGACCGCATTTGAGATGCATCACTGAAGCAATCCGTGTTGTCCTGCTCTTGTGGGTACGTCCTGTCCTGTCCTTGCGTGGGAAATCGGCTGTAGAAGCATGTTCGCGTCCGGTTTGACCTCTGCAGCAGGGAGACACAGACGAACCCTGTAGACGCTGTCTGGTTAAATGTTTACAGTCACTGGGAGGTGACCCCCGCCTGCCTGTCATCTCTCTGCCATCCCTGTGCTGGCGCCCTTTAAACACCTTTTGTGGTCACCTATTTTTTATTAGCTCTCAGCCAGACTTGATTGTGTATAGAGGCAAGGGGCTCAACATGTAACCAAAGAACATGGATGGCAATGGCATTTAATTATTGATTAAAGGCGGACCTGCAGGTTTGGTGGCTGAACGTGGAAGCAGGAGGTGAAAAGGCCTGGACAGCAGGAAATTCAAACCTGATACTTTCCCCCATGGTTTATGGTTTTTTCAGAACGGGCAACCTTCAGCGGCTAGAATAATACATGGTTGTGGGGCTGTTTGTCCATGAGGTATCAGTAGGAGTTTAGCCTACTGTATTGGCCTCAGTTTGTTTTCAGCCACCTCTGAGGGCACAGCTGACAAATCCTGTAATTGATTGCCCCTTTGCTTGAGGCCGTCAGCTTTCCGACACGTTTCATTCAGCACATAAACCTGTCAGAGATGAAATGAGCTAAAGCTGCCTGCCACAGTCGGTGTTGCTATGTAAGAGCTCAATGTCATCCCGGTGTTTTTCAGTTTGTCATATTTTAAGGTCATTCACACATTACTCACACATCCTTTTTATTATCATGTTGTCCTCTAATCAGTTGCATTTATTGTGTCACGGAGGCAGTCTTAGTGCCGCAGCGAGACACCAAAACTCCTGCGAATCAAGGCCGGATTAATTTGCGTCCCGCAGCAACAGAGCAGAGAGCTACAACACAAAGAAACTACAATGCTATTTCTAGCAAAGCTAACGTGTTAGATGACATATGGAGAAAATGTACCACATTTCCATATATGATGTAATTGAGTGAAATCCAGGAGCTTGCAGTTGATTAAGTGGGCTTGGACCTGCATACTGTGGAGTGTTTGATTTGCCTGTGCAGTGTTCCAAGCGCTGCGCTGATTCAGTCATGTGTGCACACCGTCGAGTATCATAAAAAAACAGGCGATGGTGAGGCTGGGACAGATGCAGTGAGAAGTCTCAGGTGAGCACTGTTCCGCTTCACGAGTCCATATGTGACAGGGGCCCAAATCTTGCAGTTGTAAACAGCATTGTTCTGCTGGCTCACAGTACAGCAGTTTGTTCTCACATCACTTGTGTATGTGTATTTTTCAAACAGTACTATGCAGAAGTAGAAACACAGCAAAGCAGTCCCATATATTTGGCTATGTGTGTGCTTTTTAGTCATGTTGGCGGCATGGCTCGAGGAATGGTAAGGTTGGTCCCCACTTTGATCCACACCAAAATATATCAACAAGTCTTGCGTGGATTGCCTTGACATTCAGATGTTCTTGGTGCCCAGAGGTTGAATCATACGGGCTTTGATGTTTGATATTTGTGGTACTGAGTGAGTGAATATTGAAGTACACAGTTTTAATGACTTTCTGCTTCAGGATTGCACTACTAACATAAACCCCAGCCAATAAGTAGCATATACGCAATGAATTAAAACAATGACATACAGTGATGTTGGTAGGTTTTCAGTGTAGTAAGCCCCTTGGACCCACAGGTGGTCATTTGAATGGGTCCCCAACAAAAGGTGTTTTCTGTCAAACTGTAGTGTTTAACTTGTGTTTGAGGTTTTATGGTTATAATTGTGGTTATATTCATGTTTAAAATGTATTTGAAAGGTAAATAAAATCCCAAATCTGACAACTTTATTTACAAAACCACAGACTATATCTCTATACACAGTCTTATGTACAAAACATTACACAAATGTCACATCTTTAGTTGAGTTTAGTGTAAAGCACCATGGTCACTGACATGAGTGAATATAGCATCTGCTGTCACGACAGATGTTGCAACCTAAGATAGTAGGAATGTCTGGAGTAGTATCCTACTTCTTTTTGAATTTGAGTGTATTTTATGAACCTTTAAAAAACAATGTTATTGTCTTCCGGTGGTCCTTGTGGACCTCTGTGACGCCCTTCTGTCTTTACCACAAAGTAGGGATGCTCCAAGCTTGAGAGAGCCGGGGGTGAGATCAGGTGGGCGTGTGGACAGATGTCAGATGTGTGCAGAGCACCAGAACAAAAACACCGACACATCACTGACAGTACGATAATAACATTCAAAACACATGTCCCTCTCAGTGGTTTCTATGACAGAAGAGTCACCCGGCGGGGCGTCAGTGGCTTAGTGGTAGAGCAGGCGTTCCATGTACAAGGCTGTTGCCGTAGTGGCCGGGGTTCGACTCCAGCCTGTGGCCCTTTGCTGCATGTCACTCCCTCTCTCTCTCTCTCTCTCTCCCCCCCTTCATGCTCATCTGTCCTATCAATTAAAGGCTTAAAAATGCCCCAAAAAATTTCTAAATAAAAAAAAAAAGAAGTCACCCGGTGCCACTGTTTCAACACGACATGCATGGCGCATGTAAATATAGCCTACTATTAATTGCAGTTCAAGCCATTTTCTGCAATACCTACATTGCGCATGTTATTGTGTTGAAGGTAAATTTTCAATTTCAATTTTATTTATAAAGCCCAATATCACAAATCACAGTTTGCCTCACAGGGCTTTACAGCATACGACATCCCTCTGTCTTTAGGACCCTCACCTAAATTTTCAATATGCAGCCCTCAGTGAAATGTCTCTATAGCTAATAATTGCCAATTAATTTGGTGAAATGGTGCAGCACCTGTTCAAAACATGCCTGTTTGACATACACTTAGCGATGGTATTTATTTTCTAAATAGGTGTATCAGTTGCTTGCCTTTACATTTGACATAACCACTGTTGTTATAAAGTCGAGCATGGATTTAATTAGCGGAGGTATTTTTGCAGGTGGTAACATAGTTAGTGTTATAAGCTTAAACTAAACTTAAAACTAAACTGACACAATTTAAGTTGCAATGGCAACGAGTGGTGCTGTTCCTGTATGCTATCTGCTTGTGCCGTTGACTTCAGGGAAGTAAAGAGAAGTTTTATTGTAACAGTATATCTGTCATCCAGCAGCAAAAGCAAACTCAGTATACAGAGCCCTGAAGCCTCGCCCCTGCTGCTGCACAGAGCGCTGTTGGCTTGTTTATTAAAAATGTATTATATTTAGCATGTCGTAAGTCCAAATTCAACACTGCATGTCCTTGGGTCCCAAGTAGACAGGATGGAGTGTTCTTGAGATCGGCGATGAACGCGCAGACAGACAGATTCCTTGCTAGATCGGCTTCAGTCCTGTTCCCCTCAGGATGAATTGTTAACTTTGGTTTTCCCTGACGTTTAATCAAGCACCATTGTCAGAAAATACTTTATTTCATGACCAAACTAATGACTCTTAGCTTCAGCCGTACTTAGCGTTTGTTGCTAATAGGCAAGTGTTAGCATGCTAACACGCTTAACTATGATGGTGAACATTGTACTTGCTAAAATTTATCACTGTTAGCATCTTGTAGCATTGTCATTGTGTAAAAAAGCAGCATCTAGGCAACACTAGCTGACAAGGTTTGGCGCAGAGCCCTCATCAGGCATCAGGGTATGTTAAAAACAAACAAACAAATAAAAAACATATATACTCTACAAGAAAAGCTGAATTTTAATCAGTTATCCAATGAGAACTAGACCTGCTGCACCTTGACCACTGTGACTCCCTAACCCTGTGTGTAACCCTTACACACATTCATTGTGCATGACTGTAGACTCTCAGATATGTTTGTTTTTCTCCAGTTGGATAATTTATTCTGCCTGCAGTAAGGATAACCATATCTTATCATATCATAGCTGTGGCTCGTGTTAGTAATACGCTAGTGATGCTGCAGGCCTCTTACAAGGAGAGACAAGATGTGAGCCTGCCGCTCGGGCCCAAAAGGAACAGGTCGGACAGAGGCCGCTCACCACAGATGCCGGGTCCCGTTAGGGAGACGGCCAGCTTCTGTCTCTAGCCAGGTGCACTGTGGAGCGGTCTTGCTCCCAGAGATGTGAGCCGTATGGTGGTACCATGATCACACTGTGTTCCAGCTGGAGCTCTGGATGATGGATGATGAGTCCTCAGCATGGGAGGTGTTTCTGCCTGCTTGCTTTAATTCTGTATGACTTCAGGCTCTTAATATAGCTCAAGCTTTTACGTCAGTATTTGAGGAGGAGATGTGATGTTTGACTTTTTATTTATTTATTTTCTGCATGAATAGGTATGAAGTCATTGGTTGCCGAGTGGTGTGACATACCGCAGGCTGAAGATGATTTTAAAATGTTGAGCGATTTTCAGTCCTTTGAAAATTCAGAGCCCTTGATGTCGTCTGAGTTTCCAGCTTTTTTTGGATAATGATCACAGACTGCTGTTTAATTTGCATTTGACCCTCTCTGGCTGCGGCGCCCTGTTTTTAGGTACACAAGACATTTTTTTTGCCATATTAGATAATCCAGTGGGAAGAGATGGAACACGAAGAGAAGGAATGACACTCCCATAGGTACCACGACCAATCCGATTCAGCGTAAGCCTGCTGAACCAACAGGGCACCCCAGGCAGGTCGGCTCCTCTGAGACCGACACCCATCGTGAAATCCCTCGGCGCTCTTGGGGTGGGTCGGGGACATGTAGCTCGCTGTCATGCTGCTGATGTGTGTTGACGATGACATTTCCTCTCTCCTCAGCAATACACGAGTTCCCCGATGACCTTTTCACCTCCAGTGAACGTAAGAGCGGGGCCGTTCTGCTCCACATCGCGGCGGTAAGAGGACTTTTTTTTTTTTTTTTTTCAAAGCTGCTGCACCTGCATCACCCATCACATCAGTCCCCAGTCGACACTCCCAGTAGAGCTCAGCTGTTTGCAGGTGGATGTTGAAGCCTAACTGCTTGTTTTTATCTTTTAAAGCCTGGGCAGGAAGGTTTGGGTTATGGGAGCCGTTTTTGCTCAGCCAGATTGTAAAGATGCCCCAGAGGAGCTTTTTAATGCTCAAGTGATTATATACTCATCATATTAAAATTATCCGCCACCCATTTTGGTGCTAGAAGGACATTATATAGATGTAAACTCACACTCAGATGTGAGGAAGATATAAAGAATAAAAAAAAAATAAATGGGTGAAACAGTCCAGTAGGAGGGGAGACAGGGGTCAGCTGGCACAGAGCTATTTTCTCATCCTTTTAAAGGTCACAGAAACAAAAATGTAATATAAAGTTTGCTTGCTTCACCTGGACTCATCTACTATGTTAAAACATCTGAATGTCACTAACTTTTGGTGAGGGTGACATTTCAGTTTTATAGTGTGGAAAGTAAAAAAGGTGCTCTGTGGACTAAAAGTATAATAAACTGTTAGCTAGAGATATTGGAAAGGTGTTCCTTACGGTCACTAGACAGAGGAAGCTACATTTTGCAGTAAGATTTGAAAATCTGTGATAAGTTATGGCTTGTGTCCACCTAGTGTCTTTCTTCAGCAGAAAAGCAGTGGCAGATTCGGGGAGTGCTACATCCTAATGCCTCATAAAAAAAGGCACTCCCAGCGCTTTTTTTTTTTTTTTTTTTTTTTTTTTTGAAGACGTGAGTTTGTTTCTTTACAATGACGCTATCTAGGTAGCTAATGCAATGCTATGTTAACAGAGGGCTGACTAAACGGTCAACAACAAGGTTAAAACAGTGGGGTAACATCCAGTGTCCGCCGGTTGATCTGATCCCACAGATGGACTTTTCTGTCTCGGTTGTGACTGTAGTGTGGTTAAAGGAGTAGCGTGACATCACCAGTGCCTTTCTAAGAAGTTCCGAGATTTAGAAGCGCTTGGAGTGGCCGCACAAAAATGGTTGAGTACTCTGATAAAAGGTGCTGGGCGTAGCACTTTTTCTCTACACTCTCTCACCGCTGGAAACAGTTGACGAGACGCCGGTGATGAGAACAAAACGCTATGTGGACACAGGCCCTAATGGTAGCTGGCTAACGTAATTTTATCACAAAGTTGGGTTAAATATTAGCATTGGTTGTTTGGAAGACTGATTTTGGGGTTGGAAATGTAGCTGTTGTGACTGTAACTGTATTTTTAACGATTAAAAACAGCATTATATTGTTAATTTTGTGTTATTTTGAATGGTCAATAACAAAGGTAATTAGACATTCCTAATGATGAAGTGAATTAAATTGTTTTGTTTAAAAAAATGAGCAGATATTCAATTAAATGTTCATGTTTTGTGGTTCTTGTTTGAATTAAATATTCCAATAAATCATTTAGAAAACATTTGTATATTAAAACATAATAATTTATAGCTGAGACCTTTATTTCCAGCTGGTTAGAATATTCTAACAAAATATGCCAGAGAAGTACTGCAGAGGGTGAAAAGTGTGCCAACCAACCCCGGTCTCCCCACTTTTGAGCATGGAGGTTCACATCCTTGATAGAGGGAAGCTCATTAGTGCTGGGGAAGGCTGTGGGATATGACTGAAAGCTCTCTGAATAGCCAGCTCTGTGCGTTTAGTATATTATATCATAAATGTCTCCTTAGTTATTGTAGCAAAGGCACAACCACATTTAATAGGGCTTGTAATATAGTAGACCAAATATGCCCTACTAGCATCAGCCTCACAGTTGTTTGAATGTACTGAATGCACGTTGTAACATCTGAGCAACTACAAGACGTCATTAATTTAATTTTACAGTTCTGAGTGTCGTAAAGCGATGATGTCTCTCAAAGGAGAGCTTTAAACTCAGGAGCGTGTGTGTGTGTGTGGAAACCTTCATAAATATGTCAGTGCTGCTCTGAGTGTTTTTAGTCAGAGTTTAAATTTAAGAATGATTGATTAGAACAATGCTGAGGCAGCTGATAAATGCAGGCCCAGGACAGGAAATAAGGACAGACACATGTCCATTATTTATATTGTACGAGCTGCTTCCCCACATGAAAAACCATTATCATCTGCGTTCAGTCATGCTAAGCTCCACTGGCTCGACATAAAGCCACCTGTGGAGTTCTGAGGTGTTGTTCAGCAGGAGGTTTCGCTCTTCATGCTGGATTTAACTGGCTTTAAAAAGTTTCCTTTTGTCAATTGCAATCCAGGGTTTTAGTCAGGATTTGAGAAATGCTGAAGTCATGAGGACCCCCCTCCTGGCACACTCCACATCCTGCTCAGAAAAAATTTGACCAGAAACCAGAAATGAAATGGACATTAATGGATTTTTTATTTACGCTGTTTCAAAGCCTTCTCAAACTGCTGAAACTTAATAATGTATTATGTTGTTGGATTCTAGGATAGGTTCACAATTTTTCACATCTGACTTAAAGTTGTAAACTTTTCCACTGCAGCTCAGCAGGAGAACACAGAGGGGATTTAATACCGAAAAAGACTTTTACACTGGCAGATACACACTTGATTTGTCTTATACTTAATCTGCTGACTCCTCATATTAGCTTCAGATTCAACTTTGAATACGAGGGCTATGGATTTTTTGTGTTAAAGAATATATTTACTACATTTTTTACATACATCACAGAGCAAAGTAGCTCAGACAGGACGTGACAAATAAAATGAGTAGTTAAAAATAAGAAAATAGTGGGCATTACATCATCCCCGACCTTCATTACCTCCGACAACCACACAAAGGCAGCTACAAACAAAAAAAACAAGCTATATAGGCAAATGGCAAGGTTACAAGAAGTCAGGTTTACAGGCAATATACAGAGACTAAGCCAATTTAGGAAACCCCTGTAATATGGAAGATGACAACGTAGATCCAATGTACTTTAAGCAAGGGTTCCAGACTTTAGAAAGAGTCTCTGCGGAGGAGTGAAGCACACAAGAGATATATTCATTGGGAACACGCTGCATTATAAGATTGTTAGAGCAACATGCTTGGTCCAAAAGAGCAGAATATTTAAGGGCTGTGGATTCTGTCTTTTACATTGGAAGCACATGAGGAAGGGATCTCCTAAAAGAGGAGGAATGACCACAGCAAGCAAACCTGTTTCAATGTTCATAGGGGCACCTCAGAAAATGTGAACTTATCCTTAGAGTACTCAAATTAAAAGGGCAGGTCCATCTGTGTTCTTTTTTAAATGGAACCTCCCAGTCAAAGCACTGTTAGAAAGCAGTGACGTAGGCTACAGCACAGATTAAGGCTGGTCTACAGCTGCCTTGATCATTTAGTTTAGTTGTTATTGCGTGACTTTTGGAACCAAACTAATGTGGCGTCCACAGCTGTACGTTTATATATGGCAGAGACATTGTACAGAAACTTATGTCAGGTCATGCAGGAAAGGTTTTTAGAGGTGGCGTGGGAAAACAGCACTTTGAGGCTAAAACATGCAGACCAAATTTGAATTTTCGGATTTGAATACATCAGGAGTGCTACTGGAAATTTCACAATGATATAAAAATCTCAAAAAACAAACAAACAAACAAACAAACAAAAAAAAAGGAGCCAGCCTTTGAACATGTTGCGTCAAAAACCCTCAACATGTGTATGTTTTTAATTGTAGAGCACCTGGTTGCTGAAACCTGTAAAGCCATAAAGAAATAAAAGTACATGGAGGGGGATGACCCCATTTTAATCAATAGTAGCTCCGGCCCTGAACGCACCCTGTGTCTATTGACCTTTTGTATTCACAGGACAAGTTCAGTGACATAAATGAGTCAAGCATCTTTTTTTAAGCACTTCTCCCCATAGAGAGTTATATTAGCACAGAGATCCTCACCTGGGACACTCAGAGTACCAGTCCAGTTTACTGCGCTTACACTTCGTTAAATCTTTGTGTCTCGCACTGAAATACGACTTATTGTCCTGGCATCACTGCTGAGAGGAGTAACATAAAGTGTGTGGGGCCTCTGATCATACTGCAGTCCTGCACTGCCCCCTGTGGATAGCATAGAGCAGAGCACTGCTACTGAGGCAGCCAGGCCGTGATGATGTCACAGCTGATCTATAATTTATAGAGAACGCCTCTGCTACTGAAATAGGCTCCTCTCTCACATCTATCCTGACAGATCCTGTAGATTTCTTTAAAATGTAAGAGAAAGCGGCTTGTAGCTGAACTGACATTTGATTTTTAATGCAGGCTTTATTTTAATTGGGCGCTCTGCTTTGAGAATCCCCTTCACCCGTCCTTTAGCAAGGGAGTATCTTGCTCTGCCAAGGCTCTATTAACTCAGCTAATTTCTGCTGATTAAGGGTGTATCTACACAGGGACACGCTCACTGATTCTCCTCACACATATACACACACTTGAAAGTTCACTCTGCTGCTTCTGTCTCCAGGCCCTCTACATGTTTCTGGCCCTCGCCATAACATGTGACGAATACTTTGTGACATCGCTGGAGAAGATCTGCGAGGTACTTTGGGGGGGGTGGGGGGGTCGAGATAGTGATCAAACTTTCAGTGTTAACAGTCACACAGTGCCGGTTAATCCTCAGTATAAACAAAGACGTCTTTGTTTTGTTCCTGCAGAAACTAGATCTGAGTGAAGATGTTGCTGGTGCCACCTTCATGGCAGCTGGCAGCTCTGCACCAGAGCTCTTTGCATCTGTCATTGGTAGAGACACACACACACATATACAGACGTACAGTATGTGCATACACTACAGACATTCCCAGATGGTTGGTGTCACCGCTGATTCTGATTGGCTGTCTCTCCCCCCTGTGCAGGTGTCTTCATCACCCACGGCGATGTGGGGGTGGGGACCATCGTGGGCTCAGCAGTCTTCAACATCCTGTGCATCATCGGTGTCTGCGGGATCTTCGCTGGACAGGTGTGTTTGTGTGTATGTGTAGGGAGTGACTTACTGCTCTGGCTGCATCATTCTGTTTATTTATAGACTGCAGGAGACCACATGTGTGGCAGAAGTTTTTTGCTGAGGGGAAACAAAGCCATCTGCTTCAGTTAGCTGTCTCAGAACTGGTTTTTAGTGGAAATGAAGAACTAAACTCTGGAGGCGTAAATGGATCATAAATCTGTGTTTCTTTAAGTGTTCTCTGTCAAGTAAAATTTACATATTAAGTGCATTTTATGATACCACATGTGTTTACCAAATTGCCTCACAGAACTCTAACACATATAGGTGCAGTTAAAGAAAAGTGTTTGAGGTTCGACAGAGGGGAATTATGTGATTGATTTTTCTTTTTGTGTCATGCACACCTACATGTGCTCAATGGCTTTACAAGACACCATTACAATGACATTCCAGTAACAACCCAAAGTACATGTTATTTCACTGTTCAGTCCAGAAACAGCATACTCTGCCTTCTATCTGGGGCAAAGAAAGTCAGCCACAAAAAAGGTTCCCTTTCTGAAACAAAACTCAAATTTTTCACGACCATCCAACCAAAATAAATCAACATAGATAGAGGTCATCTTACTGAAAAGTGCATTCCTTATCTCTTAATATACAAGACAGTAAAACAAGAAGTAAACCTCAGTCTCAACTTCATCTAAATAATACAACAAACACATTCTGTCCTCCTCTGGGGTGGCGTTAAACCTTCCAGTCTTGAGGGCGGCTGTGCACACATGGATCTTTGTCCTTTGTTTAGATTATACTTCACGTAAAGTTCCACACTGTAACTGTTCTTTATGAGACAATAAGTTCGTATTTTCGGCTTATACCATATGTCAACAGATCATTTTTCTCTAAAAGTGTGGAACATTTTACTTTTAATATCCTGAATATGACAAAATAACCTGATCTGGAAAATAAATGACAAGTTGTTCAAATAAAGTAATGATTAAACTCATTAGCCCGGGGATGGCAATGGGAGATATCCCAATTAAATATCTTTATTATTTTATCATGCTGCGATAGTGTGTAAATGATGTTACTGTATCTTAGCTTGGTTTGTTAATATATCCAATAAGCTAAAATGAAAAAAAAAAAAAAAGACTGGTCTACACAGCAGTGAAAATGATAGGGATGAGTGAGCATCCTCCCTCTATAAGTGCTCTTTGAAACGACTATTGTGAAACAGGCAACATATCCTCATTCAACAGTTCGCATGTTAGCTTAGGAAAATGTACAAATGACAGTTGGTATGGTATCCTAGGAATTAGTGCCCCACAAATGACTTTACATCATTACCATAAAGTTATGTACTTCACGTACGCTTATGTAGGCTAGGTATAGAGAAAGAAACATAGTGACGACGTACCGTAAAATGTCTTAAAATTCACTCAAAGTTTTGAAAACCAGTCTCCAGGGGAAAGTCCTGGGGGAGCGTCATGTGCTTTGCTCTTTAGACCTGTCAGTGCATTGGTCACATGAATGCAGCCTTCCCTAATACCTGGCTTGTACACAGATTACTGGCTCATGATTACCTATGAATGAATTAACTTTATTTATATAGCGCCTTTCATGCACAGAATGAAAAAGTGTTTTACAATTGAGCAGCAGAGACAAACAACAGAAATAAAACCATACAATTATACACCACTCATTTAAGGAGAAATCAGATAAATTAAGTAATCACTCAATTATTTAATTAATCGAGTGATTAAAAATATAAAATATTACAACAGACGGCTGCTAGTTATAGGCTGTATTAAAGATTTGTTTTTTGTTTTTTTTTTAGATATTTTTTGGGCATTTTTAGCCTTTTTTAATGGATAGGACAGACGTGTGAAAGGGGGAGAGAGAGAGTGAGTGACATGCAACAAAGGGCCACAGGCTGGAGTTGAACCCGGGCTGCTGCGGCAACAGCCTTGTACATGGGGCACCTGCTCTACCACTAAGCCACCGACGCCCCTAAAGATATATGTTTTGAGTCGTCGTTTAAAACTGTCCACTGAGCCAGCAAGTCTAATATTTAAAGGCGCTGTATGTAAGAATGTGGCCAAAACGGTTACTGCACTCAAATTCAAAATACTGCCGTGAGTCGTGTCCGCTCCCCCCTCCCCTACAGATTCGAGGTTGCTGGACAGCGGCACGCTGGAGACTGATTTTTTTGCTCATTGGCTGCTGTCGTGGCAGGTCTTCTTTTCTTTGTCTTTGATCTTCTGTTTTCTAGTGGACCTTTCTAGCAAGTCCGGCTTCTCTGCTGCTAACGCTGCTGCCGGGATACAGCTGAGGAGGAGCCAGCTGCTAATGCTATGTACCCGGACACTGCTAATGCTGCTTGCCGTGCTGCTCAGTTGTAACTGTAACTGATGCTGAGACTCTACTGACTGCGTGACTGGTAGACGGCGGTGGCACAACAGGCCAAAACACAAATTCAAAACATAAACATGATTTGCAGACCGTATTTTTTTTTATTTAAATGCGAATATTCTGGCCGTACTATTGTTGTCGGTGAGATCAGTATGTTATATGAACATTATTCCTTAGTCTCTGTGACATATTAGGAGGATTTTATGACTATTTGCTTTAGATTTCTTACATATAGCTCCTTTAAAGGCAGGGTGTTCCATATTTTGAGGCGTAGCAGCTAAAAGAAGCATCCCCAAAGATTTTTGTAGTGACATTAGGAACAGTAAAAAGAGCACCTATGGAGGATCTCAGGGTTCATGGAGGGACATAATGTGATAGGGAGTCTGATATAGCAGGGGATTATGCCATTAATAGTCTCTCTATACAGACTCTCCATTCAGTCTGTAGGCAAACTCCGGAGATCTTGCCTCCAGAAGAAGAGCGGAAAACCTCTGGTTTCTGGTGCTAGGCTGTTTGTAGTCCGTGTGATATTGATCAATCATGTTTGAGCCGGCTGCAGTTGTTGCCAGGTTAAACGCTCCATGCGGTGAACTAACGAGGCGGAACATAATTGCCGTCACTGCAAACTCTGAATCCATCGCAATGGCTCAGCATATTTACTTATATATATAAACGGAAGTCGGAAACGGAAATTCGCCTCCTCCACCCAAATCAAACTGGAATGCCAAAAAATCAGGGCTCTGCCCCCAGAGGCTGTATCGCCGTCTGCCGGAAGTCAGACGCCAAATACAGCCGATGGGTTCCAAGAATGTGCCATTAAGAGCCATAAAAACCAATAGAAAGATTTTAAAATCAGTTCTAAAAGATACTGGAAGCCAGTGTAGGTTACGTAAAACGGGAGTTATGTGGAGTATGTACAAATTTTGGTAGATTATTTATGTAGGAAAACGTATGAAAAGTGCATAAGAACAGACCCCCCATGTCATGTGTCCAGAATACAAACTGTTCCATCACATGAATGCAACAGGGTTCCAATTAAATTCAGGACAAGATACCTGAATATGCATAAAAGATCTTTCATTCCTCTATCAGAGAATCTTGTAAACTGAAAACATAAAGACGGTGTAAAATGAGGGCCTGCGTTGCACTTATTTGAATACACTTTATGTTTGCACTTGTCTGTGTTATGCCCTTCACATCTGTTTCTGCACCTTTTTTTATGTGGCAGCTTTAATGTCCAACATAAATATCCACTGGGACAAATGAAGTAATCTTGAAAACATCTAAATAATAATTTTTTTTTCCTGGTGAACTCAGGTGGTGATGTTGACCTGGTGGGCAGTTTTCAGGGATTCCTTCTACTACATCCTGTCTGTTGTGGCTTTAATTGCAGTAAGTTTGAACACATTGAATTTATTGATGAACACCAGCCATGACTTTCATCTTTGAATTTGTTTTTTTTTTAAGTCTAAGAGAAATGTTTTCCTTCATTTTTCAGTTCATCTACGACGAGAAGATAGTTTGGTAAGTTACTCATCCAGTCCATGTCTAAATGTGAGTGTAACTTTTGAAAGAAGAAATATATTTTTCCCAATCTTATGAAAAAGCTAAATTTCTAAGCAATAAAAATCACACTTAGTGACTTTGCTGCTAAAGCCTTACCTGATCTGGTATGACCGTTAGCTTATGGTAGCTAATGTTAGCAAACCCTTGACAGGTAGTGTTAAAACTAATGTTACTGATTTAGACTTCGATGATAATGTTATAACTATGTTACATTACAAGTTAGCAGTGGCGGGAGCAAGTCGATGTTTTGCAAGTCCCAAATGAGTCTCAAGTCTTTGCACCCACGTCCCAAGTCAAGTCCAACTTCAAGACAGGCAGATCCGAAGTCACGTCCTGAATCAAGACTTACAAGTCCCAAGTCCTAAACCTTTGCCATAAGATCCTGGATATTCTATTTATATTTCACAGTGTGTCATTTTAACCCTCATCCTGTATCTTTCCTCTTATCAGGTGGGAGAGTTTGGTGCTGGTGGTCATGTACGCTGGATACATCCTTGTCATGAAGTGAGTTCTGCACATTTTTAATCACTCAGTTGTTCCTTACTAAATTAATCAATTAGTTGAGGTGACTAATGACACATTCCTGAATTTGTGCATGAGTAGAGATGCTTAAACTCTGTCACACTAACGCCTGTGGGCTGACCATGATGAGTGCACTCAGTAGTTTCATTGAGAGAAGAGTGGGTTTGCAGCTGCAGGGGAGGGTCTCATCCAGGTCCCCGTGTGTGCTGGAGATTTAACTCAGGAGCCTTGTGGTAGAAAGATTGCTCCTCTAATGAGTAATGTTGAATTATGATGCTTATTGGGAAACAGTTTTACAGTTTCTCATTTGTGGGTCTTTGAAAATTCTACTAGATATAAAAATGTATTCATTTAATTCTAGATTGAATTGGAATGAATTGGTTTTTCAGTGCTGCAGATGTTTTCAATTTGGCATTTTAGGTGTTTTAAAGTTTGATTTCAGCAGATAATTAAACGTGAATCCGTATTTCAGATGCATTTTATTTCATAAAACAGCTGTCCCTTGAAACATACTTGACTTGGGGGGGGGGGTACATATCATATTTTTAGGTCACAATCTGCCTTTTCATCTCCCGTCTCAATCTGTCGCCTTTCAGCTTGTATGAGCAAATTGTTTGCCTAAAATACAGACACTATTACGCCATATTTGTGTCTTTATAGTCCAAACTGCATAATGCCAACCCACGTCGTCCTGTGCCGCTGTCTCTGTCCAGCTGGTAATCTGTGTTAAACTCAGCAGCAGCAGCCTGCTCTCTCCCTGCCATAAGAGTTTAATCTTTCTCCCTCTGCAGTGGCTAAGAGCACAGGCTTAACCGGATCACTCCTCTCCTTTCTCATTTGGAGGAAAGAAGTGCTTACTGTAGGATGTGCTGTCATATGTCTCCCCTCTCCCAAAAATATCCGCTGACCATTTTGGGCTGTTCCAGTCAAAATGGAGTAGAGTGGGTTTTATATAGCCCTGATCAGAGCACTGACTGACCTTCCTGTTACGTCTTTCTTTTCTGTCTCCTCAAATAGCACACACGCTGCCAATTGTGAAAACAAATAACAGCACAGGGCAGAATGTTACGACACAAATGTGCAAACAACAAAAAATCCTATTGATGCTTTAACTCAGGAGCTTTTACTTTTTAATGTCATTAGTCAAGTTTACCTGAGCCAAATACTGACAAAATGTAGCTGACTGTAAAAAATGTAATAAGAAACTGACACTGCTACTTACAATAAATGGTCTTAACAAATTTTTTTTCAACAAAAAATACAAGATTATTTATTTTGAATGAATGGTAAACTCACATCAATGAATAAAGTGATGCTTTAAAACACATTGCCTCTATATTTTGCATTGTGTTTGTCCTCATGACTCAAAATATCCTTAATTCCTGTGGTGTCTCCAGTGAACAGTATGTTGAAAACCTCCTGAGATGAATACTCTGTGTACACAATCAATAAAATGCATTACAAGCTGATTGTATCATCGGAAAATCACATCAGAACAGTGTTTCCCTGTTTAAACAGGATTTCTCTGTTCATTTTTAGGCAACACACAGAGCCACCTTCCATTCCAGTAGACAGATGTTTTTGAAGAAGCTCTGAGTAAAGGCGTAAATTTTCATAAGATTAATTCATATGACATTTATAAGTAACATAACATCTCATGTTCACTTTAAACACAGTTTAAACACAAATGATGTATTATAACAATATGATTTATGGACTGAAATGTGCCATGCGGTTCCTCCTTGCCTCATGGTCAGCCATGCTTGTTAAAAAAGGGGGCGTGGCTTTACTGCAGTCCACTTTAGATGATGTTGAACATTGTGATTTGGCTTATGGACATCCCATCAATTAAGTTTGTGCACTTGGGTGGAGTCAGATGACAGTAACTATAGTGCTAGACATCCCAGAAAAGTTGTGTCCATTTGAATGGACAGGGGATTTGAACGGGATAATGTCAAACAAAGTAAACTCAAAACGTCTGAGTAGCATTAGCTAATTTTGTTAGCATTTGCGGGGCAGATAAAATGGGTCCATGTCATTGGTCCAACAGCCCATTGGTCCGACATCCCATTAGTCCGACTGTCCGCGGTGCTGAACGGCTCCCGGCTGGCATATTTCTACCTTGATGGTGCGCCGCTACTGGCTCTGGGTCAGCTGGGAAAGGCTTGAGGCGGAGCAGGCTCATGGCTTATGTGTTTGCCACTTTCTTTTTCATTTTAACCCACACCATGATCTTTTCCAGACCCTAACCAAGTGGTTTTTGTGCCTAAACCTAACCAGACCTTAACCACAGGGCATCATGATGATTTCGGAACGGACTTTGGAACAATAGGTTTAATATGGTCGGAACAATGGGCTGTCGGACCAATGGGCAGTTCCCGATAAAATCCCATAGCCACTGTTACAGCAGTTTATATTGTGATGCTGCAAAATAGCAGTACACAAGATTAATATTAACATGCACTGGCTGATGTTGTTCTGCTGCTCCAAAAGCAGTTAAGAAAATCCCTCCCATACTACCTAAAATTCTGGATCAGGTATCAGCCATCTTGCAAGTTCATGCACTAATCTGATACCACGTAATTTATTATATAAACATGAGTTTCACACTTGGATAAAACAACAGTTTTCCTTGAAATCAATTCTTCTTCGCTGCTCTAAAACAGCAGCTACACAGCAAGTTGCCCTGTGCAGCTGCTGGTAACTGTCCTGCTGTTTTAGAGATGCAAAGAAGTATTGATTTCCAGTAAACAGTGTAACATTAATGTTGAGCAAAATGTCAGCAGTTTCGCAATTTCTCTGTCTTTCTTTGTCTTTATGTAGCTATTCATGTTTTACAAAGGGTTTAACATCTTTCACATCTGTACAGGGTTAGTATATGGCTGTAGATTAATATTTTTTAACACAGTGCTATCGGATTAGAACTCTATCAGCCAACAGCAAGTTTGGGTACCTTTATCCATAGAACTCTTTTGAGGAAAGAGTTCTACAAGAATTGTTGAAAGCATTAGTGTTAAAAAATCCTTGCCCTCAAGTTTACCAATGTTTCAAATGTTTGTTTTTTTTTTAATGTAAATGTATCTGAATTCTCTTACTCAGTAATTTTGTCGGTCTGTAGGTAATGTCGTAAATTACTATTGTAGTTATCGGAAAGGAAAAAATGGTGTTGGAACATTTGTAGTTTTATGATGACGTTGCAGCTACAGCCGGGTAGCGACATTAATGTTGCCAGAATGGATGGAGTTGGGCCGTCTTGGGTTGCATTGTGTGGGGTAAAATGGGCGTAGGTGGGTGGACAGAATTTGGGCTAGTTCACCCTAGGTTGGGCTGGTTTATAAATACATTAAAAATTATTATATATTAAAAATGTAGCCACTCAGCACAACTTTGATATGTCATAATTTGTCTTCATTCTGCTGAGAGGAGATGAGTTGTCATCATTACCACCCACCTGTGACTTACCATATAAACACTAATAAACTGTAGTGTTTTTTTTTTTACAAATCTGTATGTTCATATAATGGATACCTCACCGCCTATGCTTGCAACATCGCAACATCTTTATTTATTTGGGTTTTTGGTAGTGTGCACTTTTCTCTTTCTCCCTCTCTCACGGCTATCTCCCTGGTAATGCCTGTGTGCTTTGGAGGCACACTGTAAGATGACACACTCAACATTTGTTGCAGTTTGCCAAGTTGGATAAACCTATTATTTTTGCTATTTTAGCTGTTACATCATGAAAGAGGACGGAAATAGAAAATAGTTTAATTGCATCGTATGATGTAAGTGTACCTTTCCATCCATGTTCCAGTACACATGCATACACTTCAAGTGTTTTTTATTATTATTATGTCATATTAACAAATTGTGATGATGCTGCTAGTGCTAGGGCTTTTTTAAAAATCAATTGGGGCGAATTTTGAGCAATTATTGGGCTGGAAAACATCAAACCGTTCTGGCAACACTGTAGGTAGCTAGCTAACAAGGCTGGTGTTCAGTGCATGTAGCTGACAGTGTTTCAGTCCAGCAAGCTTTTTCTCTTTATCACTTGATTCGAGGTTGAAAGAAGCTCTGCATTTGTTTTTACACTCAGTTTAACTAACGGTAGTGTTTGTTTTTTGCAGCTTGTCAGTTTTGGGCTCCATAATAATTAAGATGATGACATTAAATTATTTATTGCAAATCATAAAATACAAGACATTTTTAGTTTTACTCTTAGCTTTTGAAATTCTCAGAAAGGGACAGAGCAGCTCTTGTGATGTTGCCAGTGTTACTCTGCACACATTTTGTTCAAAGGCAGGCGGCAGCAGCAGCGTGTTCAGTATTTGTGATCCATTTTTCTGTAATGGCACTCAAATGGTCTCATTGAAGTGCCCGTGTGGCTTATGAAAGCCTCGTGATTGGCCTCTGGGAACACTTTTCCTTCCTTTTCTCTTCTAACACAGAGCAGCACATTTCAGCCATTTGTTATATAGTGTAATGCTGATGCTGGTTTTTAGGAAGTAGGGCACCCTAAATTCACTCCATGGTATGTATGGAGAGTAAACAATTTATTTTGGCTAATGAATACATGCTATATCTATATTTCAAACAAGTCTGAGCCTTTCATCTGGAGCTCATAAACCCTATTTGCAAATGTGAGTCTTGTTTATGTCTTTCCATTTTGTACTCTGGGCTGACTTATTTCAGTATCTCTAATTTAGGGATTATGTTCCATCTGTTTACTAGATTCAACTCCAGCATGCAGAGGTTTTTCATGGGGTCAAAGTCAGACAAGAACGTGGCCAATGGTAACGCTGCAGCCAGCAGTGAGATGGAGGACGGTAATACTAGTTATTACTATGTTTGGGATGACGACCCGTCATCGCCTTTACTCTCAGAAGGTAAGGTTAATCAGACAGGCTGGGTCCCCAAGACAATTCTATGCCAGGAATTACATGTTAAAATGAAAACGTATTAGGAGATTTGACTTTGATTCTTTGGAAGACTGTGGTTTTTTCCTTCTGCTAGAGGGTTTGTGGCTTTAACATTTGCTCCTGTCCGCTGAACTAACTTGAACTGCTTCAGCTTTAAGCTACTGTATTATGCTGAAATTTGATTTAAGCAATAGTTCGGCATTTTGGGAAATATGATAAATTGTTAACTTGCTGAAAGTTAAATGAGAAGATCAATAGCTCTCTCACATCTGCCCAGTAATACAGTAATAAATTAAACTCCAGTCAGTAGCCAGTTAGCTTAGTTTGGCATAAAGACGGTTTATCTAGTGTACAGACAAGAGAGTGGTATAAGCAGGGTTGTTTGTCCATCTCATTCTGGTGAATGCAATATTTAATTCAACACCTTGAGGGACTTTCTTCAAATTTGGCACAAACGTCCACTTGGAATTACAGATGAACTGATTCAAGTTTAATAGTCAACGGTCAAAGTCACTGTGACTTTGTCTGTCTAATTCTTATGGAACATAATATCTCAAAAATGCCTGAAGGAAATTTCTTCAAATTTGGCACAAACATCCATTTGGATTTAGGGATGAACTGATTTGACATTGATAGTCAAGTTTAAGTTCACTTTGACCTTGTGTCCATCTCATTCTCATGAAGACAATATCTCAGGCATACCGTTAAGGTATCTCTTCAAATTTGGCAAAACTTCCACTTGGACTCAACAGTTAACTGATAAGATATTGTTTGTTAAGGTCAAGGTCACTTTGACCTTGTGTCCATCTCATCCTCATGAATGCAATACCTCGTTAACAGCTTGAGGGATTTTCTTTAAATTTGCCACAAACATCCACTTGGAATAAAGATGAACTGATTAGATACTGGTGGTCAAAGGTCAAGATTACTGTGTTGTCACATCCATCTCATTCTCCTGAATACAATATCTCACGAACACTTTGAAGAAATTCCTCCAAATTTGGCACAAATGTACACTTTGACTGGTGAATGTCGCATCATATGCTATTCTAAGCTAACCAGCAGCTGGCCGTAGCTTCATATTCAATGTATAGACATGAGAGTGATATCAGTACAAGTTCACGATCAGTAGTTGACATGTTAATTAATGAGGTTTAGAGGTTTGGCACCCTCAGACCAAGCCAGGTGGTCTAAAGGTCTTCCCCTGTCCACACCTGTTTTTTCTTATGCTACAGTGTGCTAACATTACTGGCTGTTGGGTGTAGCTTTATATTCAGGATACATATTCATCTTCTCAGCTCTCAGCAAGAAAGCAATTGTGTTTCTTAAAATGTCGAACTGTTCCTTTAAATATGATTCTGCAGGACCACAGTGTGCTAAATTTTCCCAAGATAAGGAAGTCCTTTGACCTCAGTGAACTGCACTCCCGAAGAAAGATAGTTTGTCCCCCGTTTTTCTTTTTCCTGCGGGAAGTTCTTTATGTTCCTCCATTAATTTTCTCTGCCCGCTAAGTCTTCTTGTGGCTGATAAGCAACTGGAGCTTATCTGAGCATAAAGGGGGCACAAAGCGAAATACTCTTGTTTAAAACAGGAACACCATAATGAAGATATTCTTTAATCTTCCTGCGGTAATGCGGTGAAATGTCAGGGGACTTTGTTGTCTTGGGTTTTAAACTTATTAAAAACTCCTGGAAAAATTTGCCTTTTCTAAATAACATCTCTTAATGTTATGTGTGGGTGATATTTTCTCATAGCCACAGTTCTCCACATCTTCCTCTGCTGCTTTTTACCTCTCAGAAGCATCTAATCAGTGACATTTAACCCCTTGAAGAGATTTAACCCTTCCCACTTTGGCTGCACTAGTGTTAACATGCCTGTCTGTTTAGCCTTACTAAACTTATTCTTGCTTACTGTCAACAGTGTTGTGCTGCTGTGTGCCAATTCTTTCTGCTTGCATACTACTTTTCCTCTGCCGGTCTCTGGGGCGTAGACCCACTCACTCCTGAAGTGGTAATGAATTTCACAAGAGGAAATGTTTATGCCGGCTCTGTTTACACAGTTAATTTATGTGCATTCTTGCATGCATAATAAGTCCAATTAAGGCAGAGTTAAACTAATAAGTGTACTGTAGAACTTTTTTATTCCCTATACGCTGCCTCTTATAGCTAACTGTGAGCACATTGCAAATGAGCAGTTATAGGATGCCAATAAAACATTTAAGTGTGTTACTGTCAGAGCCCAAATTGACTGAAGTGGACTGAGCATGTGTTGTAATATGTCAGACACCTGCCTAACAGTTTGAGATCATCAGCTCAAAGATGCCAGAGGTTACATCTTTCATGTCATTTTGAAATCAATCTCGGACGATCCATAAATATTCACAACTGGTAGGCAAACTTCAAAGCTGCACCAGGCAATTTGAGAAAGCTATTTGAAGTTCAGTGCCCAGAAATCATGTGATGTCAGTAAGCGCACACAACGCAGTCGTGTTAACTCAGCTGGTGTGTGATGTTTTATACCAAAGGGATAAAAGTGGGGTGGTTTTAAAGTTGGTGAGTCCAGGGGGGACATCCCAAAGATTTTAAACTCCTCTTTTCCTCCATGATACGAGGATCGAGTGAAGTGGAAAAACGGAGGAAATCATTTGGGACCGTTAATCTGCTGCAACATCAAAACCACTGTGACTTAATGTGCTCAAGCCCAAAAGGAGACTTTTAGCCAAGCAAGCTTTTCCTGTAAATCTGTGTGAGTCTTCATATTTAAATACGTGCCTTAGCTACATTCTGATAATATATGCAGCTTTATGCCATCTGAACATGTGTTCACAGGTGAGTCTTCAATCACATCACCACTGTTCATTATGGGTTAAGAAACTTTTTCTACGTTTTAGTAGTAACTAATACTGAGTTCACATGGAATCAGGCAGACAGTAGATGGCAGAAGGGACAGCAGTCTGACAATTTTTTTTACAATAAATATGCCGTATTGTTTACAAAGAATGGAATAAAATATATGAATATGATTTAATGTTGATTATTTTTTGTAATTTTTCTAGTAATGTCTACTAACTGTCCAGATTTCCTGTGTTTTCGCCTTGTTTAAAGGAGATATACAACATCCGGTTGTAAATTCTGTTGCAGAGGATGGCAGAAATTTAGAATTTAACTCTGAACATATGCCATTTACGATTACCCTTGCCAGTATTCTCTGCCATCCTCCCCTAATTTTACTGACTTGATCTTGTCCACTAAAATGATATCCACTTTGAGAGATACATGGTTTTTTCCATATGGAGACATGTTGCACGATCTTAGACATTCACACTGTTGTCCAGAGCAGTGGTTCTCAACCAGGGGTCCTTGAGGGAATTCCAGGAGGTCCCCAGAAAATGGGGAATAGTTTATTTTCATGTTTTAGTTCTCTGTAAAAATGAACCCAGAGTGAGTAAGAGTCAGTAAGAGTGGCTGTTCTGACTATAGGTTGCATAGGCATTCAACTGTACACACAGAGGCCGCATGGGATTCCCTAAAAACTTATTTCACTCAGGGTCAGTGCCTTATGCACTGCGTCACACAAATAGTTGTGTGCCTGATGTGCGTTCTCGTCAGCTTGGATTGGGTCATCTTGTCACTTTGTGGATAAGACAGCAAAACTTAAACCCAAAAAGTTTTTTTTTTTTTTTTTTTTTACCTAACTTTTTCCTTAACCTCAAAATTAAACGTGCAAGAGACCTCATGCTGAACTGTAACTTCTAGGAGAGATGATTTTTTTTATTATCTGTGATCATCAGTTTATGAAGATACATATAGATTTTTTTCTTCATGTACTGCAGGCACAGCTGCAACCACAACTAGACTTCTCTGCAGAATTTTAAATGACTTTTTCTTTACTGCTGATAAATTCTCAAATTGACCATCATAACATTATACTGGGAAATATGTACAACTTAATAGTGCTAACAAGTACTGACATTTATACTTAATTATATCCAAAGACTCAGATGTGTACATAGGTGTGAAACCAAACATACAGATTGTGGGTAACATGACGGGTATATTCTGTGATACCTTCATACGTGTTGTCTGTCTAATTTCCAAGCTTTAGTAATGAAACTAGCCCATACGTTGCTGCTCAGTCCAACTTTTCATTTTCATCAAATCAAAATAATTCAGCATTTCCGTTCTGGATTCTTACAAAGGTGCACGCAGGTTATCATAAAACATGTGCATGCATTCAAAGCCTGGAGTGTAGAGACGAAGCATGCACTGCTGCGTCATGCAAAGCCACGCCCATCCAGGTGAAATACTATGTTTTACGGATTCCTGAGCCCACGCTGTGATTTAAGGTAATAGTATGGTGTGTGTTGACATAAGAATCTTGCCTGGTGCAGCTTTGACATGGTGACTAAATAGCACTGATTTAGCGCCCATTAATACTCCTCATTAATTTGGCCCGTGATGCTGGAGTGCTCCAGCCTACAAAATGACACTACAAACTTTTTTAGTGCAGTGCATATCTCTTGATGCCTCTTAAGTTTTAATTACTCTCAAGTTTTAATTTGCAGTCTAGGATGCTCCAACAGGGTGTCACAGTTCACCATCAGGAAGGTTTTAATTACATGCATTTGAATAAAACACATCAAATAGATAGAAACAGATGAAAACAGTTCCTTGCTAGTATGATTGAAACACAGGTAATTTGTCAGTTAAATTATTATTTTTTATATTTGCATCACATCCCTGCACCCCTCAGTCAAGCCCACCAAGGCTTACAGCCGGGGATCAGTAGTGATGGTGGACGAGATCATGAACGCCAGCCCTACAAAGTTCAGGTTCCCAGAAGCTGGCCTCCGTGTCATGGTCACCAGCCATTTTGGACCCAAGACCCGTCTGCGCATGGCCAGCCGCCTCATCATAACAGAGGTACAGCAGGGCGTTGTTGCCCCAGTACGATCATATATCTGCTGCTGCTCTGAGTTTACTTTCAAGAAGTTTTTAATTCGCCTCAGAGTCTCCTTATCTCCCTCACACAGTGTTCATGTATTTATGTTTTTCATTTATAAATGCAGAAACAACAATGCATAAAAAACATGGCAGTAGCGTCACAGTCAGAGCAGCAGAGTGCCTGCTCATGTGCTCTTTGACTTAGTTTCATTTTTCTGAAAGCGTCAGAAGTTGGTCCAAGCTGCCAATGGTGTGGAGACACAAGTGATTGACGGGAAGGTCGAGATCGAGAATGGAAACGTGCCAGAGGACAAACCCACCGAGACGCAGGAGAACATAACAATCTCGCCATTTCACATTCCAAGTACGTGATTCGTGTATTCAGCCGATGAATGTCTGTGTAATTTAGCAGACATGGATGGATTCTTCAGGGTGTATGAATAATGTAGGAATAATGTCATTTTTACAACATCTTTGACATATTTATGAATCTATTTAATGTCTTACTGTCTTGCTTATTTTAAGAAGTTGAAATAAGCATGATACGCAGCTTTCTACTTAAGTAGTTATTGATGTCCTCGCTTGAATGAGTCAGTGACTTCAAATAAAAAATGTGGGAAAAATGCATATTCTGTTGGCGCTTACAGCAGACAGAGGACAATATGTCTGCTTAGAATGACGTCAGCAATCCAGCTGCAATTTGAGATTTGTGGATAATGTGGTTTGAACAGTGCTGCCGACTTGAGAGAGAGAGAGGCTACAAGTCATCACGGTCATGGTATTTGTTGATAGTAATTATTTAAACTGTGATGTATTTTTTCTTTTAAACAACGTCTTTTGGCATCTTTCTAAGAAAGTAGCATTTAGTATTTCATTTAGGCAATAATTTTTTCCATCAAATTGCTAAAGAGCAGGAAGCTAATCTCTTGTCTAATGTGTGTATCCCTGCTGCAGGGGGCATTGGCAGCAAGTTGAAGTGGTTGATCTCGTGGCCTCTGCTGCTGTTGCTGTTCTTCACTGTCCCGAACTGTGCCAAGCCTCGCTGGGAGAAATTCTTCATGCTCTCCTTCCTCCTGTCCACCGTCTGGATTGCCATCTTCTCCTACTTTATGGTCTGGATGGTGAGTGAGACTGTGAGGCATCACCAGGACAGCTTTAGGATTTACTCACTGTAGTGTACCAGTGCTCAAATGCCATTTTTGCTTGGTGGAGTAGTTAAATTATTGAGCAGACGTACTTTGTTTCCAGCTGTTCTTCTGTTTTTCATCACTGTGTATTGAAAATCTTTGGTGTTGAGAGTTTTGGTTGAAGAAAAGAAATTTAAAAACTCCATCAAGGCCCCTAGATAAAATCAATGGACATTATTATTTACAGTACTCTTTTCGGTAACACTTTGTTAAGGTACTGTAATAAGTGTTAATTAATGCTTAATAAGCACCTATTAACAGTTAATGAGCACTTATAAGACAGAATAAGATGTTTATTACCATTAATAAGAATATATGTGATAACTATAGCATAATTAACACCGTTATTATTGCATATAGGAGCATTATAAGCACTTAATAGAAACTTGATAACAGTTTATAAACCTATCCTAAGTGATTACAAATCAGAAAAGGATATTGCAAAAATGAATTGGCATAGTATCAAAACTACATTTTTTTTATAATCTTATCATTGCTGTCAAAATGGTGGATTTAATAATGTTATCTGAACCATTGTGACTCTGAGGTTTAAACATTTGCAGCTAAGTAAGGGAACATTAAAGGAGACCCATTGTGCTTATTTCTGGTTCCTGTTTATATTGTGGATTTCTACAAAACATGTTTATGTGTGTTAATGGTCAAAACATTCTCTATTTTCCTCATACTGTCTGCGCTGGAACACCTGTATTCACCCTCTGTCTGAGACGCTCCGAAAAGCCCAGTCTGCTTTGACTGATCAGTGTTTTCAGCTCCACTTATCTCGGCACCTCTGCACCATTGTTGCAGCCGGGGAGTGATGAGAGCACAGCAGCACTTTCTACCATTAAAAAAAATCACAAATAAAGCTTCACAACCTGAAATGTTCCAGCAGGAATGTGATTCAAAACTGGGGAGAAATCAACAGCACTGGCAACCAAGATTAGTAAGCACTTGCAGTAGGGTGCTGAGAGGTCATTGCGAAAACTAGAAAAACTAGAATACAAACATAGGAAACGGAGTATTCAGACACCTGAAGACTGAGGTTTTTGGCTATGAAACTTTGGCCATGTTTAATATGAGCATCCGACACTGTGACGTTATTTATAGGATAGAAAATAAGGAAAGCAGTAATGGGTCCCCTGTAAATATGGGCATCTGGTGTGAAGGTTGACATGCTATTTTTTCATTCAGCTGGTGCTATTTTTGAGCTCTAACACTCTGTAATTTTCTCTCAGGTGACTATAATCGGCTACACTCTGGGAATCCCTGATGTCATCATGGGCATCACTTTCCTGGCAGCAGGCACCAGCGTCCCAGACTGCATAGCTAGTCTTATTGTGGCTCGGCAAGGTACACCTTTCTGTCTGAAACATTTTTAGACTGCTGCGTGTTGCACATTATTGTATCACTAGGCACCAGGGCCTTTTGTGGTGAAAGTGCTCACTGGGATGTCCCTATTCTTAAGTGGATAGACGGATGGATAGAAAAGTGTTAGCTTACAAGCTTTGTTAGCATTTACAAATCAAATGTAACATATAGAGAAGTCGAAAAAGTAGGAAGTAAGCACAGGAACAAGAGGGAATAGTGCAAAGCTGTTTATAGACATCGCAGTGTAGCCCGGCTGTGTCACTACCTGCAGCTGAAAGAAGGTTAGGGCCCTTGTGAATATCACAAAGTACAGAACAGCAAAACGTTAATCTTCAGTTGGAAATAAAAATGTTTTTTTGACCTCTAAGTGCAGATGAAAATCTTGTATATCTGTGCTCTAAGTTTTAGCTGCTTTTTAAAGATTTTTTTGGTTTTGTTGCAGGTTTGGGAGACATGGCAGTGTCCAACACTATCGGCAGTAACGTGTTTGATATTCTTGTGGGACTGGGGGTCCCCTGGGCGCTACAGACCATGTGTGTCAGCTATGGATCAGAGGTGAGGAGCTTGTTTACTCTGACTGTAAAAAACCCCAACCAAAATCCAGTTGGTTTTTATGTCTAATGTTGAGGAGCTGATAAAGATAGATTGTTTATGTCTCTGTGTGTCGCAGGTGATGATTAACAGCCGGGGCCTGTTGTACTCGGTGGTGCTTCTGCTGGGCTCCGTCGCCCTCACGGTGAGTAAATGATGTTTACGCTGCACCGGTCATGTTGACCCCATCCAGGAACATAACCAGGCTACTGTGTGTGTTTAAAGTAAAAATCCACAGTGCTTTATTATAGATAATAACACCCCTGTGCAGCATCTCTCATCAAGGATTGATCCACTGTTATGCAACAGTGACTGAGCCAAGTTATGTAATTGGTTCATCAAAATGTAAAAATTCAGCGTTGCAAACACTCGGGGTGTTTCCTGTGAAAAATACTCTGGTGCAAAGGAGGTAAAGCATTTTTTTCTGGAATGAGCAGAACAAAATTCAAGTAGTTACACAGCGTTCAATAATAAATTAGAAACTTCTGACCAGAACTCTGAATTGCATAAGTTTCTATTTCACAGTGAATCCTTGAATAAAAATATAACCCTGGGAAAAAAACTGCAGTGATTCAGTTTGTCAATGTTTTTCCAACCTTGGCACCTTAAACACACACAGATCAGTAATGTGCCAGCTACAGAAACTCTTAAAGGGATACTTTGCCAATTTTGAATCAGCTTTGTATCATAATGTGGGTAGTATGTGTGAATGAACTGTGGTAAACTTTCCTTCATCTTGCCGGCGTCCAGATGGGCTCGGGCTCTAGGGGCCGTTGCTCAAACTACAGATTATACATGTTTATTTTTGTATGCCTGTGGCCGCCATGGACACAAACTCAGAGCAAACTCTGGTCAAACTGTAAAATGAGGCAGCGGTGATCAAGTATAAACCAAGATTTTTTCACTGCATTACAGATTTCTCGCCTAAAATGTTGTCAGAAACATATTTTAGCTCACCGTCAATGCCCACCAGTGGGAGCGTTTATTGGCAGTGCATTCTGGTAGTTGTAGGTTTTCTACTTCTTGACTGACAGCAAATGCAACAGCTCTTTTTCTCACTTTTCTCTGGTCATGTTGCACCAATTTCAAAAGTTCTTTCTGCAAAGACCATCTTTCCAGCAGTGAAAGAAAGATGGACGCACTGCTGTAGTGTAATTACTCATCAAAGGTCATAAAATGCCTCTTGTGGCTTACAGTTTTAGAATGAGATTTGCATATCATGATTTAGCTGCACAGGTAAGTTGTAAGATATTCAGTCAGTTCAGGGTGCGTTCATTAAAGGTGCACAGCAAGGTTTTATGTGGAGCATACCTGAGCCGGCACTAGCCCCTCTAATGTATTTGTGTATGTGCAGATTCTGGGGATCCACCTGAACAAATGGCGGCTGGACGTGAAGCTGGGCATTTACGTCCTGGTGTTGTACGCCATCTTCCTCTGCTTCTCCGTCATGATCGAGTACAACGTCTTCACCTTCGTCAACTTGCCCATGTGCATGGAGGATTAGAGCACAGCAGCATGCCTCGGATACCAAAACCTCAACGCTCCCATAGCAACCCCCAAAAATCTTTTATTTATTTATTTTTTTCAATAACACTGGACCTATCTGCAGACTCTTTTTCTCCCCTCTTGCGCTCTTTCCTGTAATCCTTTTAGTCCTGAATATGAATCTCATTTCCTCCTAAGAGGCAGTACACGATGTAAGAGTGGAGTCCATTCTATGTCTCTAATTTGTCCTCTTGTCCTCCACGCAGTGCCGGTCCTTAATGTCCATTATTTCGGGGCATTGCCTGTTATTGCAGTAAAGTCTTTAGTTCCTCTGTGCGCCTGTTAACTTTCTACCCATCTAGCATGCCTTTAGATGTCGGGGACCTCCAGAATCATAAGTGCCCCTGTTGATTGTCGGTGTGTGTTTTCACTGTTTTCACATTGTAGATTTCCACACACCATTCCCAGAGCCTTTCCACAAACCAAACCAGAGTCTGTAAGAGGAAAAAAAAAATCTACGATTCCAACCAAAACTCCCACATAGCGAGAACTCCCCTTAAAGTCATTCCTACAAAAAAAAATTACAGTTACCCCAGCACCCAAAGAAAAAATACACTCCTTTTCCCCCCTCTTAACCTCCATGGAGGAGGGCTTTGTCCTTGGCAGCTCCCCTCCTCCAGCCTGGACCCGACTCCCCTGGCATGGCCTTTGGCATCAGGGAGCAGATACTGTTAGCGCTTCACTCACCCTCCGCAGCTCCTCGACCCTCATCTGCTTGATCAAATCTGCTTTATTTTCTTCAACAACAAAAAAGACTTTTTGTCAGGACACTTTGTGTCAAGATGTATCACAGTCCAGATCAGACGACTGTGAGGGTGTTATGCATATGCAACACTGCACAATGTAAACTTGTAAACACTTTTTTTTGTATTTATTTTTTCAAACCAAGGTTTTGTCTAGTATGAAATGCAGAGGAGAGCTTGTTGCAAATATAGGACATTGCCTGTTTTTCACTGAAACAAATTGCACATGGAAATGCTTTTCTTGCTTTGTGCTGTAAGGAGATTTGACCACTCAGAGGGGCACCTGGCTGGCGGTGGCGGCGACTCCACCCCAGCGTTCTTTTCATTCAGCGACGGGTCAGTCCACTTTTCCCTCTGCACAACTTCATATAAAAAAAAAACTGGCTCCAGATCTGTGGGATGCATCAGATTCCTCTCATCGTCAGGTGACTTGTTGTCATCTTGAGACAGCAGCAGAATGGAGGTAGTTGTTTTAAAAAAAATGCAAAGAAACCAGACGGTTCTCAACACTGACTGTCTGCTATAACACCCTCTGGCCAGTAGGGGGTACCGCAGCCCCTCTACGCAGGACGGGGGTGCCAACCACAGCTGACGGTTATCAGGGAAACTCAGAGATGGACAACTCCAGGAGATGGCGATGGTGGTGGTCTCTTGATTTTGAGTTACATGTAGATATTGCACTTTAACAGCCGTCCTCTCATTCTGAATCAACTAGTGCTTCCTTCTGTGCGTGTGTATTTTCAGTGTATCTGTGACTGTGTGTGTGTGAGAGAGAACAATCGTGTGTGTGCGCGTGCTCGGTATGGGCCCACGCTACGTTTTTTTCCCACACTGGGCTTTCAACTCTCGGAACTGACTGGAACCTCGTTAACACCATGAGCACACCCCGCCTCTGTCTGCAGTGCATGCTGGGACATTAAAAACGCAGCTCCTCCACAGCACAGCAAAAGGCGGAGGGCTTCTGGGCGTCTCCATGGAAACCGCCCGACCCACTTTACAGAAATCGGCAGCTACGAGCCACACTGCAATCCAGACATTTTGACATCATGCAAAAATGCCCGGGAGGAGTCCACAAGTGGGGTGCAGAGACTAAAAACTGAAAAGCGTGTGGGGAGTGTTTTAAGTGTTGAAAATATCCCTCTGCCACACTGTTGGCAGCAGGCACTTGTATATGCAATCTCAATTTAAAGAATTCGATGTGACAGAAGGCCCCTGCAAGGTTGCCATATAAAGATGGGGGATCCCGTGGAGATGTGACGTCGGTTTGTCTTGTAGTACTTGATGTGTGAGCTCACAGGTGTGTGTGTGTGTGTGTGTGCACGCGTGTGTGCGAGACAGCCGAGGAACTGAGCCAAAAGGACGTTTTCTGGAACAGTGGCTTCGAGGGAAGTCCTACACACTCTCTCCTTTATCCTCTTCCTCCATTCTTGTCCCCTCTTGCACAAGGGCATTAACTCTCCACCAACCCTAGCTGATGGAGCAGAGGGGCAGCAGGGAACGCATGGACGGATGTCTTTCCTCCAGCACCCGGGAGATGTCACTTTTCAAAAGGACATGGATGAGAGCAGACTTTAAGGAATTTTTAAAAAAGTCGGACCCCCCTTAAGCTGCTACTCAATCAGGGTTCAAACGGCTGTGTTTACTAGACGGAGGTGACCACACAGGGCCCACAGACTCCTCCACACCCACTGACATCCTTGTACACCACCCTTTCTCCCCGTCAGTCCTTCAGTGGGTCTTCTGTACATACAGGATCTAATTTTTTGATGCTTTTTGTGGGGGCGCACGTCTGTAACGTACTTGAGTTGATTCAGAATGTGCAGTGTTAAGGGTTTTGTTGTGTGTGTGTGCGCGTGCGTGTGTATATTTTTGTTGTTGCTCTGTGTGGTCATGTCCTGGGTTGCCAGGTTTGAGTGGTAACACCCACAGCAGGGGAATAAGACACTGCTCCTGTTTTTGTCCTCATCTTTACAAACAGCGTATGTTCTCACCGGTTGTCTGACTCGCATCTTTGTTACCAAGTCACGTTTTTTGGAAGAGGGACAAAAAAAGTGACAGATGCCATACTTGTCGTAGCTCTGCATAAATCCAGACTGTATGGAGATCATGTGTACAAAAGAAGCGCACACACTTTAGAACACACACACATGTTAGAAACGACAGTTGAACACAAGAGAGGACCGGTATGTATTTGTGGATTGAATGCGACCTGATGCACTGTGAGCTCAATGTGACGTGGGAGTTGTTTGTCAAGAATAATAAATGATTAAAAAATATATTTAATGTAAAGTTAGTTCCTATAAAACATTACTGAGGACATCTGTATAACTTATATGAATGTATTGTCTTGCTATACTGGACATATCCAACCAATGCATTTTACTGTAAAGCAATAATGTGAAGAAAAAAAAAATAAAATGGCAAAAATAATTCCTGTACATTTGTCTCATAAGTTCTTGGATTGTTTGTGAAACACAAATTAAATGAAGCCATTTGTACATGTATCTGCTGCTTGTGCTGTTTTGTTTTTTTACAGCATGTACTGATGTTTTAAAACCATTAAAGGGAACTTTGACTCTTTTTAGTCCATCAATAATGCACCTGAAGTACCATGTTACGGTGTTTACCTGAGTATTTTCATTTGATGCTACTTTTTATCTGTACGCTACATTTCAGAGGAATATAATGCACTTTTTATCCCTCTAAATAGTATATGAGTAGTTTTAATACTATTGTAGTATTTCACAGCTCCACAGAAGTTAAGATACTTTTCAAATTAAGATTTTTGTTAGATTTTTGCAGAATGACTTTCAATTTGACATTTAAAGCACATTCTGCTTATAAGACTTCTATGCTTGAAGTTTCTGTCTGCAATATTCAGAGCATTTAAGGAGTGTTTCACCCACAAAATGACAGTTTGCATATGAATTACTCACCACGTGCTGCCTTGAATTCATGTAGAAGACTTTGTTTTTCTCCCGTGCTTCTAAGGTGAACGAAGAATCCAAAAACGGTGAACTCTTTGTGAATAGAAGTCATTACCCAGAGTGCGCCTATGAGCACCACTTTTGTTCAAATACACACACATCCACAGGCAAGCTGCTTAGCTGTGCATGAGACTGTTTGTGCTGATGTGTTTTAAATGGTAATGTTTTAGCGAAAATGTATGTGTTTGACAAGCACTGAGCATACAGCTGGATAAATGAGGCCTGGATTGTGCTGTTTGTCTTGTGTGAGAGTTATTAAACCAATGTTTTGATATAGTTTTGTTGATGTTAAACATGGCCCTCATTTACTTCATGAAGACTGTTCGCCGTTTTTGGATTCTCTTTTCACCGTTGAAGCACGTGAGAAAAAGTTTTCCTCACAAATTTAAGGTAGTAATTCATAAACAGTACAAATGGTTATTTGCAGGTGAAATTTTCCTTTAACATTGTCAGCTCTGTCAGCACTGTTGCCCTTGTTAGCACTGCTTGCACTGTAAGCACCATTAGCTGCTAGCTGCCTCCTCCATGTTTTTTTTTTTTTTTTTTTTCCCTAATATGAGTCAGAGAGGGCCGTGATACACCAAAGTGTGTCAGGGGGAAAGTAAGGAAACAAGCAAGGGGGAGGGGGCAGGTGCTTAAGTCCTGAGTTATATAGTGACAGTGCATGCGGAGAAGAAGGAGGAAAAACAAACAAATAAACAAACAAACAAAAAAAAAAACAGGGGAGAAACAGGCAGTGTAGCTGATGTATTGTGGCCTTGAGGTGGTTGTGCTCCATGCAGATTATCGAAAATAAACATATACATGTCTACTATACTGTACTGAAAAACAAAAACAAAAGAGAAGTCTATACTGAACACCAAAAATGTGAGAGTCTTGGTGGAGGGGGAAAGCCCAATTGCAGAGAAGAGTTGCCAGCGCGGTGTGGTAGGTTTGAGAAGCAAGTGGGCCCCTTTGGAGTGATCCCATTGGTTCTTTGCGATGCGTCACGGAGCTGAAGTATCGAACATGCATGTGTGTATTTGAACCCTCCCAATGTGTTTATGAAAACCATCACCAGGGTCCAGGGCCAGCCCTGCGGGGGAAGGGGGGCGGCCTCCTCCATGTTGAGAGCCATGTGCAGGCAATCACAGCTTAGACCTCCTTTAAAGGTGTTCTCCAGCACTTTAGTATTGCACTAACATAAAATTGGGGGAGAGACAAAGTTGAAGGGTCAAATTGAAGCAGTAGATGCCATAATACCACAACTGTTAGGCTGCATTTATGCCAAATCAGGGTTTTTGGCAAGAACGCCAGTAGTTCCATTTATCTGAATATGGGAAGTGCGTATAGGCTGCAGTGTAGGGCCGCAGGGAGGGCCAGGAGAAGAAAAATGTAGCGGCCTGCAGCCAAAAATTGAACAAGAATCTACTTTCGGAGGAACGCAATCATACCAGAAGACGCCCACAGTCCACTGGAACAAGTAATACAGTCTCTTCCTATCATTGAATATTCTTGTGAGTAAAAAGAACAAAGTCTGTATTAACAGCTCTTGTGTTTTATCCTACAGAACACTTACTTTGTGTGTGCGTGCACGTATGTCTACAGTAATGAATTTTAAAGCTAACTCAGACTCATGACGGACAAAGGCTTCTGTAGTCGGTCTCTACCCTTAACTCAGCCATAAACTGACCATTTAAGTGACACAACCCTGCAGCTAATCGCCACAGCGCCTGATTTGGTATGACTGCAGCCATAGTCCAGAGTCCTACATTTCCCATAATGCAACCTCAGACTGAGAACGCTCCTTCCAAAGCCACAGATGACATCACACAGCTGTTTGGGTATATAGTGGTGCACATGATGAATGAACTTAATGTGTAAGATGATATAATGTTCCATTAAGTTGGATTTTAATTGCAGGATGTTTTACATTATTGTATGGGTAATGATCCTTGCTCTCACTATTTTCTAAAGGTATACAGAACAATCATTTCCCAACAATACCTTGTACTAAAAATCTTTCATGTATTTAATTTGAATTCATTACTGAAGGAATTAATTAACACAAAGTGACAACACTGGAGGACAACTTCAGACTCGCTGACTCAAAGTTTATTTCCTCACAGCAGAAGCTAAACGACACTGTGCAGCTTTCACAGTTTGATATGAGCAGTTTAAGATATGTAATAATATTTCTTGGTGAAATGACCCTTAAGGTAAAGTTAATGAGTTCTATGCGCTTCTCACGGCTACTCTGTTGCACCAGCAGTGATTAAAGCATTTTTCAAGAAAAGTAGTTTACGTCCCCTCACAAACTCTTTAATATATTCCGGCCATATCACCCTGGCTTGATTGCATCCGTTTCTTTTTCTTTTTTATTCTGCTGGCCATGCTTTTCTCCAGTGCAAAAAAAATTCACTGATTTTTAATTAAAGTTCCCACATCTTCCAATGGCATCGGCTGTGGATAAATGAAGGCTCAGTCAAAGTAATACCATGCAACAATACTTTTAATTTCTGGGATATTGTGTGAGATTAGATAGCAAATAAATCATCTGCTATTTGGTTGAAGCATCCCTGAAAAGAATGTCTAAATAAATGAGTCCCACTTCTGGTGTAGATGTTGCAGCAGCTTGTATTTCTCCCTGAATGAATGATGAATAATGATTTATTGGCCCTTACTGGAATCGTGTCTTGTGCGATAATCAAGCTGAAGAGCGCTGTACTTAGCCAGACAGGGTGATTGCAAACAATTTGTTATTTATAGTGACGGCTGGCGACATGTGAAGAGTCCATTGAGAGGCGAGTGATGGGAAAAATTCATGTTTTGATTGCATCTCGCCTCCATCAATCTGGGTTTCCTTTAGCTCTCAGCACCAGTAGGGGGCAATGTTGCAGCAGGATTCATGTCCCAGTGTCACAGTCAAACTTTGTTAGGGCTCAGGATGAAAATGAAAATGGAGCTCCTTCTTTACCCAAGTGAATAAGACTCTGGCAGCCTATGATATAAAGTTTCAAATATCGTAACTGTGACAAAGTCAAACCATGACTGGAATGAATGCTGTCTATATGATTTCCTGTGCAGGCGACACGCTGCACATCATTTGTTAATGATGGATGTCCATATTCTTCATCAGCCAGCAGACAGGCAGCCATCTGGTGACACCAGCACGGCCCGTGCAGACTACTGGTGCTTCTCCCTAATGAGCCACCCTCTTGGCTACCGTGCTGCAGTTAACAAGCTTCTCTGTCAGCCGTGATCTTGTGCACTGATGAGTTCCCTCTCTGCCCCCTAACAAGCCCGTTTGGGCAGCTACTGCGTGTCTCCCGTGAACGCCGGCTTAGCTCCCCTCCACCATTTGTTGTGCCACATTTAGAGACAAGGCCCACGCATCCTGGCCTCCACATACACAGCACCGTAATCCTGCTTTGGAAAGTTGTTTATCTGTTCACCCACCGCCCCCGCAGTTACAGTTTGGGGACATTTTCTTTCCTTGTTTGTGCCTTGCCAGTATTTTTGACTCCACTCTGCTGTTTGGGTAAATTGCTGTGCTGCAGTGATGGATGGTGAACAAACTGGGTTGCTGCTGCTGCTGTTGCTGCTGCTTGCTGCAGTCCCCCATAAGGGCGTCCTATGCTGCTGAGCACAATGTGCTGTGGGTCGCCCCTGTTTTCTTAACTACTGGTTTGTTTGGCTTTCACTTTGGTGTGCTGACATAAGCTGGTGAACTCTGACTGGGTGTTTTCATTCATCCAAATTACAAAACAAAGATTTTCTCACTTACCTGTTGTTGGTTTTGAGAAATAGTCTCATATATCTGTGCTTCCAACCTAATTCGATGGAAGTAAATTAAATTTTGTTGTGGAACTCACAGCAATGAAAAAAAGCATTAAAAATATATACACAAACAATGTCCTGGTTACTTGAGATGATTCACAGATCTTGCTGTGAATAGTTTTTGCTGAACTTCTTTTTACTAAAAAAAAAATTGTCATGTTGACAAAAGTAATTTTGAGTAATCTCCCTTGTTGGCTTCAGTCTGTTGAGCTAGTGACATATAACCCTCGAAGGTCTTAGGTTTGTTGGAAATAATGTTTGTTGAAGCGGTTGTAATCCTTTTTGGCTTGCACCTCCTTAAAAATTAAGCACAGTCTTCTTGTCACCTCTTATCTCACATTGCAAGTGTTACTGGGTGACTTTGCCCCCTCAGACTGATGAATTGAAGTCATAGGGAGGCTGCGTTTAACAACAGCAAAACTATACCTAAATATCTGTTCACAAACTCTCACGTAACTTGTGCTGTATAATCCAAGTCTTGTTTATCCAGTCATATGCTCAGTATTTCACAAACAGACAGCCCTTTCATTCGGGGATATGAACTACAGGTGAAAATGTATGCTCTCTTCAAAGCCAGACTCCATTGAAAAAACCTGTAATTTTACCTCACTGAACACAGGAGCTGCTGGTCTACTGCTGCCTTGTTCGGGGGTTTGTTTTTGATGTCCTGTGACGTTGCCGAGTTGGAACTTATACTT